TGCTGTTGTATTTTAGTTGATATAGTATAGTGTGACTTAAAAAAAAATAACAATAATCAATGGAAATAATAAATTATTTATGAACTGTTTGATTTGCATAGTAAATCAAGTTTTCAGTAAAAACATAGTCTTATTTTTTATTCTCAGCTAATAGATTTTCCTTTCCCTATAAGTGTTTACTTTATTCGTATCAGTTTGACTATTAACTCTCATTAGCATTTAATCATCAAATCCAAAATTTTTCAAGCCTACCCTTCTATCAAATTTCTTATATGAATAATCTTCCAATATTACTTTTTTATTTTGTTTTTCTAGAGAAATTGGATGATCATATATTTGGTAAAAACCTTATCAATAATATTATTTTTGATATTGGTAATTGATTACGAGAAAACTATTATTTTAATGATTTTCCTGTAAATATTCATTTATAAATGTTTATTAATACACTATTACTAATATTCGAAAAAGAAGTGTACATAGTCAGTATATATAAAAATAATTCTGCGCCTACAGATATGAAAATAAAGTATAGTTCATTATTTTTAATTCAATTTTGATTGCGCAGTTTCTTATTTTTTAATGTTCTATTGATTATGTAAATCCATATTTCATTCTTTAAATTACAATATATATTAATTATTTCAAAACCACATAACACTAAGCGCCGCAAACCAATATTTCGGTTGTGATATTAACTGCAAAAAGCATTAAACATGTGTTTAGTTTACGATTAGCGTCTATATGTAATCATCACTGCTTAATAAATGACTCTTTGTTGTTTCATTACTATTTTCTAGTTAATTTCATCATGTGATCTCAATTATTTTTATTAGTTATTTCGAATGTCTTTTAATTTATTCGTGTATTAAAGTAAACAAAAACGACTACGTGAAAAATATATTCATAAAATGTCATTGAACTGAAATAGCTCAATACTATATTGTCTCCGTTTGAAATGAACTTAGTTAAATAGGAAAAAATTTACTGAACTTTATTAGTTATATTAGTCAGTATGTAATTTTACACCACCATTTCCTGGGGTTTTTAAATCTAAACTACACTTAATTATCCCGATTACCTACTTGTAAATAATGACATGGTTACTTAAGCAACCTTTATGTTTTGTTAAAAACATGTGGCTTATTATATTATTTGTTTATTTTGTTTTACGTAAATTCTATGAAATTAAATCAATTTAATTACAAAATGATAAAACACTGTATTTTATCAACTAATTGTGATTTTTTTTCAATTAAACTTTCATTTTATATTGAATGTAAAAAATGGATGAAATTTATCAATTATTATTGATCATTTAAGAATGAAAAAACGTAAAGTGAGTCACTTACTGATAACTAGCTATTTTTTAAAATAAGTAAAAGGTGTATTAATGAAATTTGAAGTTAAAAAATAGTGACATGACCGTGTATACAATGGCTTGATATATCCTAATTCAGACCCATCTTTAGGCACGGGACTCGTAAAAGATTTTATTTTCAAATTTGAATATGAAATAACGTTTTTTATTGAAACTTTAATAAAAGTGATAGGGAGATAGGGCGATGAATTTGAACTTTGATATAAGTTAAAATTATTTTTGTCATAACTGAGCCGGTTTTAAATTTTAATCCTGAACACGCCTCTGTTAAATAATTTTTTTCGTTAGATGGTTTTGTTTTAGGAAATTTAAATATATTTTCTTCTAAGAAATGTCATAATACATATCTTCAGTATTCTTATATATTAATATAATATATAATATATATTATATTTATGATTCCGAAGAATTAGGACATCGTGATTAAAGACCGGGTTTTAAATGTATTAAAACTACAATAATCATTATTATAATGAAGTGAAGTCTATTAATTTTTTAAAAAACACAAAAATCTTACAAAAGTTTGATAACATGGTTATTAAAATCTAAAATGAAATTGTTTAACCTGGAGTTAATCTACTCAATTTTAGTTACAATTTAATTATCATAATAAATTAAAAAATAATTTATCTCCTTAAATCTAAATTTGATTTTAAATAATTTTGGTTATGATCATGTTTTTGGCCAATATCAATATCAAATAATAATAAAATTATCTTTTTTACATTTAATTGGCATTTTTTAAAAAAGTCTTTCCAGAAATTATTGTAACCTATATAATTCTTTATAAAATTTATATAGCTTCAGTGGCTACAGGTAGTCCTTCTAGTTGAAGGTTTTATGTTGATATGTATGCAAGAACTTTTTTTAAACCTACGTATATTTCATAAGGATATAAAATAAATAAATGCATTTTGAATAGTCACTGAGCTAGCAATTACCAATTAGTAAATGAATAGTACTTGAAGTTAGGTGTGTCGTCATTTCATATACATTTCGCTGAGTCCTTTTAAAATATTGATTTTTAATAAGCATATAAATGACGGATTTCAAAAAAATCTAAATAATGATGTGTATAACGAGATTTTCTTTATACTTAATTTTATTGGATTTAAAAAATATTTCTTTCAGTAGTATATTTTGTTTTATGCTAAGTAAAGCCTATAAAGGTATGTTAAATCTGCCTACTGAAACTGTGTTATGATGTTAGTATAGAACTTAAATTTTTTTTGAAATATACAATTTCTAACGTAAAATGGTGTTTACCCACGATACAGAATATAAATAAAAAAGTTATTTAATACATAAAATACGATAAAAGTTTGTATTTTAAAAAATATAGTTTTATTTTGTTATATATAAGTGAAGTTTTCTTTTTATGAATTAATAGAATTTTCCTGGTGTACACTACGTATATAAGGTTAATTCATTTTCTTTATTCACGATTTCATATTTGCCGAAATGATAGTGTTGGTAGAAGAAAGTGTGCATTGTTTACACTAGCTTACCGTAAAATACATTGAGTCAGTTTTAATTTGATCTGTAAGTTGCATGTAGCAACGAAAAAATACATTGGATTTATTCTATACGTAAAATTTTATTAGAATAATTACCCTCGTATTCCTTAAAATATCATAAACTTGGTCTGTTTGACGATTATCTCTAATCGACCAACACCAGGTTGTGTAAACTTACATAGTGAGGGCTACAAATGACGTCATCGATGTGTGGTTATTGAGGGGTGTATACCTAAAGATAAGTACATCTTCACATGAACTAAGGTAATGAACCTCACATAGACATTAGTATTTCGGAAACAGCTGCTTTTATTAAATTATTAGTTTTTTTTTAATTAATATTTATGTGCTTTGTCAATAGATTTTTTATAGATATTGTTAAATTAATTTGAAAAAGGTGTAAATAAAATATTATTTCTTTATTTAATTTTAGGATAGTATTATAGTAAGGTTGGACTACCTTTCAAAAAATAAAAGTAATAACCGCATTATTTTGAAAATTAGAAAATATAGGATAAAGTTATTAACAATTATTGTCACTTTTTTAACTACTTTTTCAATAAAAACAAGTGTGTTGGTTTTTAAAATAAATTATATATATTTTTATTATTAAAACTATTCACCTTAATTTTTTGCTAAACATTAAATTTTTTCAACTGCGAAAGGCACTATATTAAATTTAAAAATGGTACCAATAAAAGAAGACCTATATATTATAAAAAATATCTATTATTTAAGAAAGAAATCATAGAATACCCACAATTTCTGAGATCATAATTCAAATTTTAATAAATATGTTGACTTATAACATCTAGTAAGAAAAATTTCCCATAACATTTTTTTTACAACTTTTATCATTCAATTATTTTTATAAGAATATTGAAAACAATTGACAAAAAGCTCATTACTTAAATAAAATTCTATTTTAAATCGTTAATTAAAAAAAAAATAAATAACTTTGTTAACTTGCTCCGCATTCCTTTAAATTACAGCAAAATTAAAGTATAACTGCTCTAAAAGTCGAGCGAAAAATAATTTAGAAATCGTGTGAAAAGTCTATGAATACATTACTTTAAAAAAGATAAATACATTAAACAAATGTCAAAAAAATTTTTAGTAGTCATTGATAAAATATTTAAGTTAAACTTAATTTTAAATCATAGTTTGCTTTTATTTTAGTATTTTGGTAATGGTCCATATGTTTTTATAGATACTTTAATATTCATTAATAAACGTTAAATCAATAAATATAAAAATAATTTCCTCTAATAACGTGATTAAATAGAAATACTTAAATTAAACATACATTTTTAGATCCTAATTTGTTGATATATTATAAGCCGAAAATTCACAACTCTGTCTTCTTGCAAAATTACGCGGCTTACATTTATTGTTGCTCTTACATACTTGTATAATTTGACTTTGACATTGCTTTTTCATAACAAATGTGATAGTGAGAAAATACATCTAGATGGCAAATGTTTAAACATGATTAAATATAAGCTTTTACGATACAATGTTGTTTTGTTTCACTCTGATTAATTAAAATTCTATATTTTTTGCTGTTCATCTCACATTTCTTGTTTATTCTTTTAGAAAAACATATTCGTAGGAGTAATATTAAAACAATGAATCTATCTTAAGGCGAAATTTTCACCACAGTTGTTAGACTCTAAGTCGGTTGCTTTTCAATTATACGTTTGTTCACATTTTTTGCAATACAATATTCGTTTATTAATTTTCTTGTATAAGACTATGAAATATTTCAAAAGGTATACTTTAGCAGTCGTTGAAGACATTGCATCTTTATTATTGTATTTTTTTCTTAAAGAAAGCCATTGCAAAATATAATCATCAATATTTTACGACTTCAATATTTTAACACACAAAATTAAGTTCTATTAATATTCCTGAACTTTCATATAACTTTACTTCGTTAATATGTATAGATAGGGACAAAACTGTACGCTAGTAAAAACTACCCCAAGACTTATTTTCAAAAAAAAAGTTTGACTGGGATAGTTCACCTCTAATATACAGAAATTTTGATGTAAAAATTATTTTTTAAGTAATATTTTAATATGTGTTGTTTCTTTTTTCAGTACCGATGTCGAACAATCAAAACCAACAGAAATACTCGATCGTCGAAAATCAAAAATTGTCACCACAGGTATAATAGACAAATTTGAATTACTTATAAGCTTTATGTAATCTAAAATTAAAAATAAATTATAAATACACATTTTTTTTAATAAATTTTGAGTACTTTAATTTTCAATATTTTAAATCACATCCATTCATCCTTTTATTTGTTTGTGTCGATTACATTTTTATCGCAAATTTAATGCATTATTACTACTGTATTACTTTCATGTAATCATTTTTGCTTCATGCTTAATTTATAATGCTTAATCTACACATCATATCCCAAATACTATAAATCTAAATAATTGAATATTTATGTAATGATGTAGCCAGGATATTTGCTTTAGGGGGACTATGGATCTTTTTTTGGCTTTTTGGCTTATCACATGGTTTTATAAGTCCACGTGGCCCTAATTATACTAGTGCCAATAATCAATGGAAGTGGCTATATCCCCATTTAGCAGTTCCCTTTTGTCTATGCCACTAAAATAGTCTATATCAATACTGTTGCATAAAAATTACATGAAAAAAATTTAATAAAAATATTGTCACGAAATTTAGTCTACCTGAGCTCACTAATAAATAAATTGAAACGTTCTCACAATTTTTATCGGTGACGTCATTGGCACTTCATTGTTTCTTTCCATTCATTTACAACTCAAGTTATATTTTAAAGTAGCCAAGATTATTATTATTAAATTATCTATCTGTACGTAAATAACAATGAAATTTAAAATTTAGATTGGAAGAACGACAGTATTGTTGGAGTTGCAGTAGTCGTTTAAGTCCTCGATGTGGCCAACGGTTGAGCAGGCGTTTAGCCCGCTCTATTTCAGTTCCTTCGAGGAATATCCATCGACCTGTGCCATTTTGTAGATCTAAGTCAGTCCCACGCCCCAAATCAGATTCCAAGATGCCTATGAGTAAGATATAATAACTTTAAACATAAAATTATAAATTTAATTTTTGTTTGTCTCTATGTAGATTTTGAAAATTCTTCAATCAAAACTTGTTTCTCTCTATCGTCACTTCACCCCTCTACAGCACATGTAGAGGCAGGGCAGCAAGTGAATCAACGAGCCTACAACAGTCTCACTAAAAAAAACAAGTAACTATTTTATTAAATTAATTTATATAAATGCCCCTATTAAAAAAAATATTTTTTTAGAAAAAATAATACTTCATATCAAGATTGTTGGAGAGGTGATAGTAGTTTCGAGTTTTTGTCCAGTCTTAGAACTAGTTATCAGTATCTGATGGATAATAATTTAATCGAAAGCTGCAGAGTAAGCATAAACAAATTTTATACTAATATTTATTGTAAATAATTTTTCACGTGATATCTTTTTAATTTATTTTTCAACTGTCTTCTCTTAAAATTTAATTAATTTAATTGGACTTATAATATAAGATTGTTTACCATTTACTAAAACTTTACAAGATGTTTGATATATTTTTAACTTTTAGTATGGAGAACTATTTTTTTTAAGAGTAATAGTGCTCCCTAAAAGTACTTTTTAAAAATTTAAAGTATTAAATTAAGAGTGTGTGTATGAATATGTGTTTAACATTGATAATGATAACATTGTTCCCAAAATACATACCCGTGACTTTTTAGTCATTTTATTTTGTGGCTTTTTGAGTTAAGTATTTTTTAATTTTAAATTAATATTTTTAATATAGTTTTAATTTTAAATAATATTAGCCACAAGTGATCAATTTTTATTATAAATTGAATATAATATAATATTGTATTTTATTATAAATTAAGAGGGACGGTGTGGCCAATTTGGTAATGCAGCAGTGCCTAATGCTCTCTGTCTTGGGTTCGAGACTCGGTCACAGGCAGCTGCAATTACTGAACAAGAGATAAATTCAGTAACTAGAGTAGCCATCCCTCTATCTGACAGTATATTAACCACCCATTTTGCTGTATATATAGTTAAGAAACTTTTTCTTAGAGAGGCCGCAATAGCTTTCAAGGAACCATTAAAAGCAAAAAAATATTATTAAATCTATTGTAATTAAATTTTTTCCAATATGATAAGTCCAAAAAATGTTGAATGATTCATAGTAGATGAAACAAATACTACAATGTATATAACATTTATTACTGATAATCAATAATTGGTAGCTCTATTTGATTATCTATGGTTATTAGATATAAAAACCAAACAACTTTAGTTGCAACTTTAGTCTTTATCATTAGATTTTCTCCTGAAATATTAATGATTATCAAAACTCCTTAAAAGTTATCTTGTTACTTTTTATAGTAAAAATTATTACTGTTAATTAATTGTACATTATTAATAAATACTTTCAGTAAATAACTTTTTTTTTTATTTACAGGAGGTTAAATGTGACCTTAATAATACTTCAACCACTCAAGAATGTAATGTTGAACGGTTAAATATTTATATCAAGGAATTAGAGAAGTGTTTCTGTTCTAGTTCATCAGTTAAAAATGACTGTTCTTTCACAGAAAATATGTTATCACCCAAAAGACTGGTAATATTAATTTTTTTCAGAAAATAAACTTATTTAATTTGTGATATTTTTAGAGTATGAACGAAGAAGTTTGTAGTAGACTGAACATTTTGCGCCATATAGCGCAGTTATCCAAAAGACTGCCGAACTTTCGGGAACCTTCAATCAATCAAAGTCGCTCTTCCATTTATAATGCACAATATTTAGGTTAATATATAAATTTACTTTTTTTTATGGAATGTACTAGTGATTACAATGGAATATAATTTTTTTAAAAAAGAATATTTTAAAAATGAAAAGGCACACATTTATTCTAATTGAATATTGTGTATATTTAATGTTATGTAAAAAAGTTCATTGAATTTCTATCAAAATATCTATGCATTCAACCTGAAGACGTAATTATTTTGTAAATATTTATTTGTAATTTCTGTTTATAATCTTAACTTATATATATATGTATATTTATAATTATAATTTAAAATGGGTGCAAACTTAAAATTAATATCTTTACAATTAAATCTACATCTTACATTTATAATTCTGTAAGTACTAGTACTAATTGATAGTAGTTAATTTTTATACAATGACTCGAGAAAACTAATTTTGTGGCTAACTAACTATTGATATTTATATGGGAAACAGAATCACATTTGAATTGATTAGATAAAACTAGTTGTTACTAAAAAATACATTTGTGTAAAATACAAAAGATTGATTATACTGTATCTAACATTTGATGTGTTTATTTTACATGATCTTAATTTATTACTACAAGTAATTTTCAAATTGACCCCACATTCAAATGCGTTTCAGTATCCCATATTATAGGAGAGGTCATGAACAATTATATTGAACACTATATTAACTTGATATAAAATATTTAGTATTTTCATAAATAAAAATTTATCTAATATCTAAGAAACTTCAATATTTATTTATTTTATTATATGTTGTACATACAATTATATAAGTAGTTATATAAGACAAAGTATTTAGAGTACGAGTTTAACTAAGGAGAACACGAGATAAGTGAAATGAGGAGATTAGTGACAATGGGCGAGGACGTGATTGGAGAGGTGGAAACTTTTAAGTATTTAGGGTCAGATGTGCAAAAGAGCAGTGGTATTTATGAGGATGTAAGACACAGGATTAAGTGCTGCGGGTGGTTGAAATAGAGAGAAGCGTATCTGGCGTCTTATGCGATAAAAGAATTTCAATGAGGCTGAAAGGTACATTCTATAAGACTATAGATGTAGGGTTCAGAGTATTTAGCAGTTGATAAGAAAGTAGAGCAGAGAATGAGTGTAGTAGAGATGAGAATGCTTAGATGTATGAGTGGAGTGACTAGAGAAGATAGAATAAGGAATGAGCATATAAGAGGAAGTATAAGTGTAGTGTCAATCATGGACGAGATGAGAGAAAATAGACTTAGATTGTTTGGTCATGTTATGAAGAGAGAAGAATAGAAAGCTGTAAGAACAGTTATAGAAATGAATGTTGAAGGAAGAAGAGGTAGAGGAAGACCAATAAAGAGATGGAGGGATGCTATTGAATGCGATATGAGGACAGCTGATGTGAGCGTAGATGATATGGGAGATCGTATCAAGTAGAAGTTTAGGATAAGAGTGACCGACCTCATGTAGTTGGGATTAAGGCAAGGAAGAAGAAGAAGACTTACAATTAGAAAGAAAAACAAAATCTGTATCTGTAAAATCATAATACCAAAAAATTGTTAAATTTTTATTTAAATTATAAATTTTAATTAAAATAATAATTGGCAATTACAATTAAAATAAATTGTAACAGATGCAGAGTAATACAAAATCCTAAAATTATATATATAATTTTATTTAAAATACAAAAAAAATCTATCTAATCGTTTAAGAAAAGTGAAAAATATTAAAATAGTTTTTCAAATATTCAAATACTTAATTTTAGACATTATTGTAACATGTTCCTTATGAGATGTGCTTTTTTCTCCAAACATAAAATGTAACAGGTGTAAATAATTAAAAACATATTCTTATTATTATATATTTGATATGATTCAGATTCATTTTGAATAGTATACTAAAATAGCTGATAAATATATTAAAAATATTAATTAAAAAATAACAATAATGAAATTCATTATAGTATATATTACACAATTCCCTAATTTAATCATGTTCATTTCAATAGTTTGCTGTAATTGACTTTGTTCTCTATTTTACACTATGCAGCCTTATTTATTAAAAGTTAAAAATAAACTAGTATTTTTAATTATTATAGATTATGTGTTTCGTGATTACTTATCAGGCATACTTAATAACTAAAGATTTATATTTCCAAAAAAATACTTTTCAGCTTTTGCATCAAAAAAAAATAAATAAAAAATAAAAAATAATTTTATTAAAGTTTCAGAAACAGTCCTTTATTTTATACTTTATTAATAAAACTTTATTCTGCATAACAGATAGACATAATCTCTAATTTATATATTAAATTAAAAACTTCTAATTTTTATAAATTATTTATCATCAAAGAAATTATTTTATCGTTTAATATTGTCCTGCACAATCTTTATTCACTAATATTTTTTTATTAATTTAATTTTAAACCATTTAGATAACTTTTTTTTAAATAATTGATGCTAATTTTTAAATTGTTGTATAATTAACAATTATATAATTTACACACTAATTTTTATTTCTTGATTTGTTTTTTATCCATATAAATAAAAATATAATGGCATTTTAGTTGTTAATATTTTGTTATAAGGTCAAAATATACATACATTTTACTATTCATAAAATAATATAAAACCTTTTTTATTTTTTTAACATAAGTATTTTAGATAAATTACTAAATATAATATTTATAATTTAATATTATAGAAGTGGAAAATAATTTACGAACATTAGATCAATGGATGATTCAAATGGAAGGACGATTGAAACCAAACTATTTTCGTGTAAATTGGAATCGACGTGAAATAAGTCAAAAAGCAGAAGAACACAAAGTAAGTTTTTATTTTTATTTATCTTAAATTTAATACATCCTATTTAAAATGAACATAAAAACTGTAGTGAAGAAGTAGAAAATAATAAAAATTAGTGAAACTATTAGTTTTTATTTAAAGAAAAAACAATTGAAATGCAAATTTTAGAGTAACTCTTATAAAACAAATTGAAACAGAAAGTTTTTATATTAAACAATTATTCTATATTTAAAAACTCATTTGTTCTTTAATTTATTGAGTAAAATATGTTGGTTAATTATTATTATTTAATGATAAACTAAAAATTAGCCCTATTTTTTTATAAAAATAACCATCAAAATAATTTATTGTAAAAATAACTTTTATAAATACTTATATATTATATAAACAAATAAATATCAAAACATTATATGATGCATTACTTATATTATTTGTAATATAAAAGGTAAAATATAGAAACTTTTTTTAATTATAATTTGATAACTTATTGTCATGTTTGTCCATAAAGTTGCCTAACTTAATGTTTCAAGGAGGTATAAAAATTTATAACGCAATAATTATTTTTATTTTTATTACTGTCACTATTTGATACCCTTATTACAAAAAATAATTAAATCGTTTGTAAAGCTAAGATATTTTAAAAATTTATGGTTTCCATAAGTCGTGGAAATTTGGAAATGCCAGAAAAATTTGTAATAGCTAGAAATTTCATGAAAAAACCAAGTGATTTTTAAAATTGTATTATATCCGCTTTATGTATTTAATGTATTATTTATTATACTTAATGTGTTATACACTTATGTAGAGTCCAGTCTAAAACATTGATAAGAAGAGTGTTTTAGAGGTCCAATCTCCCAATTTGAAAAACTCTATTAATTATTTTTATATTAAAAATTAATGAATTAAATCTCTGGTAAACATATTGTAATACCAGAGATGGAAAACGTTAAAAAAAATTTTGTTTTCATTTTCTTTAATACCTACGATAAATATCGTTATTATTTACCAATAGTTTTCGTTTTTTATTATCGTTTTTAATAAATTCAATTTCATAAAAATTCTAGATTATTATATAAAATTAATTTTTAGCTTCGATGCGAAGCTGAGAAGGTATTAATTTTACTATGATGTGTTTTTAGCTTCGATGCGAAGCTGAGAAGGTATTAATTTTACTATGATGTGTTTTTTTTTTTATTTATTTTTTTTTTTTTTTGTGCGTCTGTGAACGCTCAATCTCAGCTCTCGCTGGACCGATTTTGATGAACAATATGTCAAAAGATCACATATCGTATCTAGTCGAAGACATTACCCTCAAAAATTGAAAAAAATTCCCTCGTTCCCCGTAAACGGGGGAAATCCCCCAAAAAATTACAAATTTAAAAATCGCTAATTTTCGATATTTTTTCAATTTTTTTTACTTAAAATTGCCATAANCTTTTCGATATTTTTTCAATTTTTTTTACTTAAAATTGCCATAACGTTTTTAAAAATGACCGAATCAATATAATTTTTTTTTTTATAGATACCTAAGATAATTACCTATCATTTTATATACTTTTGTGAACATTTGACCCTTTAACAGCCCAAAGGATGGGGTTTCAAAATGGTAACTTTTTTACAAAAAATTAACTTTTTCAACTTAACTTTTGAAAATGTTCCGGAAAGACTGACAATTTTATATATACCTTAAATTAAAGCTAATGTAATATACTTTAATTTGAAAAAAAAAAATTTGACCTCTGGACTTGTCTTCATGGTGAAAATGACTACCGTATGCAAAAATATGCTATTTTTGTGAAAAAATTCTTGATATTATATTTTACATTTTTTAACATTATGTTGCTATAACTTTTTAAAAAATGCATGAATCAACTTTATTCTTTAATGATAAATACTTTATATATACTTCTTTCATTCGACATACTTTTTTTTAAAATCGGACCATTTCCCTTTATACAGGGGGGGTGCAAACCTTTTAAAATGCGTATAGAAAGTAGAACTTTTTCAACTTAACTTTTGAAAATGTTCCGGAAAGACTGACACTTTTATATATATCTTAAATTAAAGCTTATGTAATATACTTTAATTTGAAAAAAAAAAATTTGACCTCTGGACTTGTCTTCGTGGTGAAAACGGACATCAAAGTTAAAGAAAAACGTACGATTTCCGTGAAAAAAATCTCGATTTTATATGTTATATTATTTAATTTATATTTTATATAACTTTTGGAAAAATGTATGGATCAATATTATTATTTTTTTATAATAAATATTGATATACCCCTTTCATCTGGCACGCTTTTTTTGTAAATCGGATCATACCCCTTTAACAAGGGGGGTCAAAACTTTAAACATGCGTATTGTTACTACGATATTTTCAATTTAATTTTTGAAAGTATTCCGGAAATACTGACACTTTTAAATATATCTTAAATTAAAGCTTATGTAATATACTTTAATGTGAAAAAAAAAAATTTGACCTCTGGATTTGTCTTCATGGTAAAAATGACTACCGTATGCAAAAATATGCTATTTTTGTGTTAAAATTCTGGGTTTTGTATTTTATTTTATTTTAAAATACCTGACAAGGGGAGTACAGATTTTCATAAATATTATATAAATTAAAATTGATATAGTATAGATAGTTAAACTTATTTAAATATGTTTGTTTCTTTTAAGTCGAGAAAAATAACTTTGAAATTTGAACTAGCTTAAATAGCCAATTTTTCAACCGCCGGAAGCAACGTACGGTTGCCGAGTTGGTAAAATTTATGTTTTACACGCTTGGGGTACGAGGTTCCAACCCGCATATGGCAATGAATTTTTTGCATTTTTTCTTAATTCTTTTTAAGTTAGTATAAATTTTAACTCGTTTGATTTTTATCACATTTAGATTCAATAACTTCAATAAAGATCAAGGATCCCATCACTTTAGTCGCCCCTTGCAAGAAGAAATTTCTTATTCGTATTAAAATTATTTTACTATATTTTAAGTTTTCGCTTCGATGCAAAGCCGAGAAGATATTTTTTTGTGACTATCATTTATTTTCTCTGCTCTAACTTGACCTACTTTTTTCAACAATACGTCAAATTACTACAATTCGTATCTAGTTGAAGATATTACTCTCAAAAATTGAAAAAAAAATTCTAATTTATCAATTAAACAGTTAGTTATTACATCGTCTCCATAAAGACAATTAAAATCATTAATTTCTAATGTTTTCAAAATATTTATTAACGAATGAAGTTTGATATGATAGGTTTCAACTACAAAATTAAATCATTTTACTTTGTAATTTAATAATTTTATTACTCTGTTTGTGTGTGCTACTATTAGACTATAATATTCAAATTTTTTTCTAACGTGTTGCTATATAAATCATTTCTAAAAAAAATGATTGTTTTTTCTCCTGAATTAACAATTGATTTTTACAAATATAATCAAATTTTATAATAAACTCAATTGAGTAAATCTTTTTAACAACTTTGTTTTGATTGGTACATTTAGTTAAAGTAAATCATTAAAATTAATTAAGTTCTCAATATTTCAATTATAGAATCTTTTCAACAAACAACAAAAGTTCCTAGGAAATTATTACTATTACTTCTATTTAAGTTATCTATTACCATAAAAATGCAAAAAAATATTGAGCTTTTCTGATAAATTTACAATAAATAGTAATTATAAAACTTTCTGACTGCATATTGATCTTAACGATACAATTTTTTTAATTGTCATAAAATTTTCTATTTAATTATGTCAATGTCAAACTTACCAATTGAGCTAAAAGTTATGGTAAAATAAATTTTTTTTTTTTTTTATAAACATTTACAACAATCAACTTTAAACGATTAACAAAATTGGTTAAATATGTCATTTTCCTTATTTTTAACTTATTAATAATCAAATTAATATTAAATATTATATCAAATCAGTATTAATTTAAAACAATTTTTTTTGTTCTTAATTATTTTTTTTTATATGTAAAAACTATTTTTTAATAATATTAAAACTTAGAAGTTATAGAAAAAGTCTAATTGCACATTTTAAAACATCGCGAAAAGTTGATTTAGAATAGTATATTTTTGTTTCTGATGGAAGTTCCTTGTAGTCCAGTGTATAAAACTTATAACTTTGTTAATTGTTATAACTTTATCAAAAATGACCAAATCAGTATATTTTTTTTTATTTAGATGCATGTCTTTATCTATCATTTGGTTTTTTTTATAAATCTAACCCTTTACCTGCCCACAAGAGGGATTCAAAATATTAACTTTTTTTTTTTTAGTTAAAGTAAATCATTAAAATTAATTCAGTTCTGGATATTTCAATAGTAGAATCTTTTTAAATATCAAAAATTACTTAGAAATGATTACTATGATTTCTATTTAAGTGTTCTATTACGATAAAAATGCAAAAAATAATGAGTTTTTCTGATAAATTTACAATAAATAATAATTATAAAACTTTCTGACTGCATATTAATCTTAAAAATAACATTGTTTTAATTCTCATAAAATTTTCTATTTAATGATTCATTCTAGTCAACGAAGGAGTAATTTTGCAGAATAGCAGAAAAAATTCCCAACAAACTTTTTTTTTTTTTGTTTTAATTAGGCAATTGGTGGATTATTCCAAAAGCAACATCAACTCTTATTTCTTTAATTATATCATGATTAGTAGTTCTTTGATTTTAAAATATAATATTTGAATATATACTAATTATAATTATTAAATTTAGTATGAAATTGATATTTAATATTGTAATTTAAACGGAGAAATTATAAAAATAATAAAGAAGTTATATTTTGCTTTACTTTTACGTGTATAAAAATTTAAAGGGCTTGATACAATAATTTTCAATAAAAACTGTTTGTTACTATAAAAAAATGCACTGGACTACAAGGAACTTTCATCAGAAGCAAAAATATACTTTTCTAAATCAACTTTTCGCGTTGTTTTCAAATCTGCAAGTAGACTATTTCTATCACTTCTAATTTTTTATATTATTACTAATTATA